GCGGCCCTTCGGTGCGGGGCGGGTCCCCGCGGCCCACGTGAAATTCCCGGGTGATGCCGGTTTGGTCGCCCCGGAGCGATCCCGGCCCGGGAACGTGCGTGGCGCTTCCTCCGTGCCGGTTTGGGGGGCTCTGCCTGCGCTCCCGCAGCGAGCCTTCCCGGTAAAGCGCTGCACCTTGATACCAAACGGGGGGGGGCTCCGACGGCGTCTCCGGGGGCATTTCCCCCCCACCGCGATCTTTACTCCGCACCCACGGGAGTGGTTTGGTTTGCAGCCGCGATGCGTTTGCTCTGGAGGAAAACTCATAACGAGTTTGACGACGAACCAGCCCCCCTGCATCAGGCTCCTTAGGGCGCTCGTTCTGCCCCCCTCCCCGTTGCAGGAGGATCTTTCTGAATGCTTTGCCCTTCTGTGGTCCTTTCCTTTGGAGCCTTTTGCTTGTGTTCATTCAGCTTTGTTGGAGGGGGATGGAAAGACCGATTTTTCTCTATTAACAGAGAAGGGAAACTGAGGCTGGGATGTGCAGGGACTCGCCCAGCAGGTCTGACACAGCCGGGGATAGCGGATGGGACTGACAGATCCTTGTTCTAAAACTGTAACTTACCTGAAATTTCTAATAAAATGAACAGTTCGTTACATTTTTGTATCACCTCTTTTTCTGGAGACTCTGCACTTCACGTTCCGTGTAGCCGAGGCTCGCTCCTCTGTAGACGTGGAAGGCAAGTCGCGGTGTAGGGGCAACGGCGAAGCGCGGCACGTTTACCTGCAGCTTCTTTGAAGAAAAGATGTTGTAACCTGTAGCTGTGAAGCTTCTCGTTTTCCTTAAATCCTATAGGAATGTGTCACTTTTCCTGTTGTCTCGAAACGTAAGCAGTGGCCTGGTTTAGCCCTGTTTCAAAACGTGGATCAGCCACGATTTGCTTTGGCTGGAGTCGCCCTTTTTTTTTTATTACATCCCTCTTGGTGAATATATATGGGTTTGCTCTTAAAAAGAAAATAAGGTAAAACGCTTTTGCTGAAGCCTGCGTTGAGCCGGTAAACTCCTGTTATCGTTCCTTCTGTGCGGGGGCCAGTTCAAGTGTCAAGATAACCAAGGTTTGCAGTTTGGTGTTGCCCAGGAGCTGAAGTTACAGGATTGAGGAATAAATTAGCAGCAGCTGAGTCCTCTTCCCTCAGTGCAGCATGTGGGGAGTTGCATGGGGACGCCTGCTTCCCCGCTGGCGGGTCAGGGCCTGGCTGATAGTTCTATAAAAGATGTTTTTCTTGTGGTTTTTGTTGTGGATTTTGGTTTTTTGTTTGTGGGTTTTGGTTTGTTTTTTTTTTTTTTTGGCATGTTGAAGCCAAAATAATCATGATTTAATCGTGGCAGAAATGCAGCTGGGCAGAGTGGAGCGTGGCAGCTGTTGAACAATGCCCGGCCGCTGCACAAAGGTTCGGGGCAGCAGGCTGCTGGAACTGGGTCCTATTGAAATTGCAGATTAAGTTCTTGCAAACGTGCAGGTTTGCTTCCCTCTGGGCCTGCCGTGCTGCTGCCAAATTGGTTTAATATGACAACTTGTTTGTGCGTGAAACGCTCAGAACTGGGAGAGACGTAGCGGTGGAGAGCGAGAATAAATACGGTGGGGAAGGAGCCTGCGTGGAGCGTGGGAGGGGTGGCTGCGTAGCCCAGGAGGCTTGGGCTGCTCTGCCTTGGGTGAAGGCCAGGCTTGGTGCTCCTTAAATCTGTCACACACACCTCGGGGGCTCCTGGTGACGGGACAGGTAGCTTGGATGGTTTCCTGATAAGAACCCTCGGCTCTGTAGAGGTGGCAAACGGCGGGGTTTAGTTGCCACGAGGCCCGGGCCGCCCTGAAGGGTGAACTTTGGAGGTTTTGTGAGGAGCTGCAGGAGCGATTGCGCTTGGGAAGTTGCCTGTGGAGGAAGGCCGGATGCTGGCGGGAGCAGGAGCCGTGGCGCGGGGGTGGCGTTAGGGTCTCCGTGCTCTCGGGGCGAGATCTCGCAGCCCGGTCCAGCCCCGCGCTCGCAGCCCCCGGTCTCGCTGGGCCGTTTGCTAACGCCGCTTCCGAGCCCTCCCCGCTCTGCACGCCGGGTCTGGCTCTGTGCAACGCTTCAGACCCTGTCCTGCAGGTCAGATGTTCTCGCTCAGGTTTCCTCCCCTGTCTGTGGCTCCTTCGCCCGTCCCAAGCGGCTGCCTGCAGCACCAGCCCCTGCTGCTCTGGAGGAAGGTGTAGCAGTTCTGTTAACGTGTAAAATTTGGGATTATCGAGATTTCGGGGGCTCAGAAGTAGCAGGTTCTGGCCTCCCTTGTGCCTGGGAGACGATAGGCAGGGTACAACGCCCGGTGCTGATCCCCTTCCAGCCCTCCGGGTTGGGCTCTTTCCCCTGAAGCCCAGTGTGAGGTTAGAAAACTCCACTTGCTTTGGATGCTCTATGGCCTGAACTCTTGCTGGGATTTTTTTGCCTCAAGCAGCTCCCTAACAACGTTACTGGCTGTTGTTCCTTGTTGACATCTAGTTCACTTTTTTTTTGGTAATTTTTAAATCCAGAATACTCAGTAGAAGAAAACTTATTATCCTTCAGAACTGGAAATATTTGGCGCAAGCAAACCCAGGCAGTTCTACGAGGGCGGTATGTTTTTTTGAAGCCATATCCCACAGACCTGTAGCACCACTTATTACCGGAGCGTTTTCGCTTCCCCTGCCCTGCTTTGAAGTCAAGCAAGGAGAAGGGGAAGTAGCTGATCTGTCTGAGGCTGAGATGTGCTCTCCAAGTGACATTTCCTTAGAGCTTTTCCCAAGCATTCCTTGATCCAGGTGATGGCTGTAACCTCTTATGGCCCTGGCTGTGGCAAACCCCTGCCTGCTCACACACTTGCATTTTGGCAGCAGGTCGCTAAACCCTTTCCCCCCCCGAGTCCTTCTGCTCCTGGGTCCCGATTGCTCCAACCTGGAGGCAGGTGCTGTTTCATTCGGGGCACTAAGGTGCGGAGAAACCTTGAGAAGCACAAGGGGCCTTTTTTTTTTTTTGTCTTGGGGGCCCGTAGAGGTGGTAGACCGGCCCGCCATGGCTTTTGGGGAAGCAGTGGGGAGGGCGGGAAGGAGGGAGGGAGCCCGCCACGGCTTTACCGGCTGCCTCGCCCCTGCGATCGTTCACTCTTGGTGCTGCCTTTTGTTTTCGGTTTCTAACAGTCTGTTCTTTCTTCTCCCCTGACCCACCGCAGAGTTCTACCTTGTAAATACTGTTATTTGTATATACTGTAAATGATGACATCAGTGGGCACTAACCGAGCCCGGGGGAACTGGGAGCAGACACAGACACAGAGCCAGACACAGCACAAGCAGCGGCCGCAGGTAAGGGCAGCGTCCATGGAAACCAGTTAGCGTGGAGGTGGAGACTGGTGCTCCTGCCTGGCTGGGCGCTAACGCCTGGGCTGGGCCGGACGAACTCCCCAGGTGTTCAGGGTGCAGAGCTGGCGGAACTGGGGGGCCGCTGGCAGCGGGGCTTCCGCATCGGTGTCCCCAAGCGGCAGCCGGGGCTGAGCTTTGGGGTTCCTTCCCCCTCGGCTTTAGGGAAGGCAAGTGGCTGAGCAGCCGCCTGCAGCGGGCCTCGGTGCTCTGGTGGTGGTAGGGTCTTGCCTCGACACCGTAGCGTAGGTGATGGTCGCTCACCTGGTGCCCTGAGGCCATCCAGCAGGACGTCCCTTTCTTCCAGGCTCCCCTCGCTTGCTCCTCTTCTGTCTGACTTTCGCTTTCCTCTTTCTGGCCCTTGATTGCGCCTCCTCTTCATCGTATTGATTCCTTTCCAGAGGTCTCGGGGAAGCGGTGCGGTCTTTGGAGGAAGGCTGGTGGGGAATGCGCTGCTCTAACCGCCCTCTCTCTCCCCGCGCCGTTTCTTTAGGCCACTGCGGAACAGATTCGACTTGCACAGATGATTTCGGACCACAACGATGCTGACTTTGAGGAGAAGGTGAAACAAGTGAGTGTGGAAAGTGAGGGTGAGCCCTGACAGGAAGGCAAGATCGATGTCGAGAGCACCGCAAATGCTGCTGGGGTGGGGGTGGGAGGGACGCAGCTGGCTGCTCCCTGGATATCCTTGGACTTGTTCCTCAGAATGCAGGGAAGGATATTATCCTGAGGAAAGGAGGTTGTAGGTTGGGTTGTGGTGAAACAAACAGTAACTCGGGAATTCCCACCCTCAGTTGCTTCTCCTTGAAGCGGGGATAACTAAGCTGAGAAGGCTGGGGAGACTCCCGGACCCTGACATTTCTTTGTAGGGTTTCTGGTTTGGGATTCAATTCCCTTGCCTCCTGAGGTACCCATGGAGATTTTGGTGCCCCCTTGGTTTGGAACACGCTGACTGTGGTGTTGTCTTCTCTACAGCTGATCGACATCACAGGCAAGAACCAGGACGAGTGTGTGATTGCTCTGCATGACTGCAACGGGGATGTTAACAGAGCCATCAACGTGCTGCTGGAGGGCAATCCGGACACGGTAGGGTGGGGTCCTGTAAGTCCGGTGAGGCGTAGGTCAGTGTGACCCCGTGTTTGGAGGCAAGACGTACAGCAAGGTCGAGATAACGAAAGCCAAAATGACTGACTGGTTCCACAAGTAGCATGTCAAGTGGGGTTGTGTCCCGGCTTCTTAACGCTCCCCTCTGTAGGCTTGCACAGAACACGAGTGTGGCCAGCAGGCTCAGAGGAATAAGAGGGGAAAATGCAGTAAAAATCATTTACTTCCCATTCCTTTTGAATCCCAGCGCTTTGACAACAGCACAGGAGCATCTGTGTGAGCTTTCCCGCTGCTGTGAGTGTCGAGTAACTTATCTTTTCCCATGAGACCGAGTGGCCTGTGGCTGCTTTCTGTCAGACTAATGCCGTTTTGTGTCTCTGGCCCCGACTGGCCCACGTGCCACTGCCCACGCCGTGGTTTTGAGCGTCTTTTTGCTGTGGAGTTGGGCTCGGTGGCTGTGCTCAGGCAGGCGCCGGTCTCGGGCAAGCCAAAGTCAGCTCATGGAACAAGCAAGTGCTTGCTTAGGGGGACCCTTCCTCCTGGCGTGTGGGACGTCGTTCGTTTTGTGACAGAGGCAGCAGAGGTGCCATTTTTGTTCCAGCCCAGTGAAAAGCCCGCAAATCTCAGATCCTTCCAAACTGCCGCTGATCCGATGTATCCTCCCCGCACCCTGGTTTGGCTGAAGCAGACTCGGCTCTTTGTAGAGCAGAGGCTCTAAATACCACTTCAGAATATTACACATTAGCTCGTTTTTTTTTCTCTCATTATTAGCCCTGAGCGTAGATGGAGGAGCTGGACACCTCAGGCTGTCCTGTGTAACGTCGCTGCTCCCCAGCGTCAGGGGCTTTGCTGCCTTGGCTGCTGGCTGAGTTCAGTGCAGCACACGTTCTTCCTTGCCTTTAGGGAGCCCTTTTCAGTTGACAGCTGAGGCAAAGCTCTGCCACGACTGTATTTTCCTCCAGATCCCTTGTAACTGGCGGCTTCTAGTTGAACGACAAACCCCCGCTGTCCCAGCGATTGCGTTTCCACACGTTGCTCGTGCAAACAGCATCCAGGACAGCGTGGGTACGTGCTGGTGCCTCCTTCGTTCCAGCAGCTGAGGTGCCCAGCAGGGCGGGATAGGCCCCGCACGGCGCAGCTCCTGCAGAGCATTTGTAGAGGTGGAAGGTGGAGTTGGTGGAGCGAAGCCCCCCCCGGTGCCTGCGGTGCCACGGGGGGCTGGTACCCGCAGCGCCGAGCGCGGCGTCTGCCCTGTGGTCGGTCAGAGGTCTTGGAGCTGCTTCTGGCCTGGATTGGGCCTGTGCAGCCTTCCCCTAAAGGGGATTTTCTGAGAAGAAACCGGTAATTGTTCAGATGCTCCTGTGCTGATGAAGGCAGCTCACCTGCTGAGCGAGTTCCTCGTGACGTACCGTATTTCAAACCGTAAAGGAGCTGGCATGATCTTAGTGTTGGGTTAGAGTTGACTTAAAATTCCAGTACTCAAATATTTCCCTAAATTTCCTTCTGAGCCAGACACCTGCGGAGAGAGACTTCAGCAGCCTTGGGTTTGAAGGCAGTTTGGGTTTTTTTGTCACTATCCCTGCATGTTGCCATCCAAACCCGGCTGTTTACTTCTCTGCCAGTTACGTTTTCAGGTGTTTGTCGAGGACTTGTGACTATTTTTGATTGATCTAACAGTGTGCAGCATCACCTTAAGGGTATGAAACCTATAAAATAAATCATAAAATGACACGCTGCAGGCCCACGGCAGGAAGCTGGAGGTGCGCTTAACTTCTTCCAGTTGAGCTTGGGATGACTTGAACTTACCTGTTGGATAAATTCTGTGATGCTCCTCTCCCTGTCAGCTGCTCTTTAGGGGAGGGGGTTTTGCTGAATCCCTCTGCATCTGAGAGAAGAGCTTACCCTGAAATGTTGACTGCAGAGCACTTTGGAATATTTACCGGGGTTGTTCTGACAGCTCCCCAAAACAGTGACCCGTATGAAATGGCAGGTAGTTTTTTTCCCTTAAACGGGGTAAATTTATCCGTGCTTTGAACTTGAGTAAGTATGATGTCCACTCTATTTAAGAGGTTTAGTAGATCTTGGCAGAAAGAGTAACTCATCTCCTGTTACCTCGGACTGCGTGCCAGTCAGCTGTAAGGACGCTTTCCCCGAAGGAAGAAGCCGTGCAGTGTGTAAGCTGATAGACTCTTCAGGGGAAAAAAAAGTTGATCTAGAAACCATTTTTCTGGAGACCTTTGTGATATTCTCTGTAGCACGTTTAGATGCGTGTGTATTTTCATCTTGCATCGATCAAAATGTGACGAATTTCTTTCTCCTCCGCAAACCTTCAGCATTCCTGGGAAATGGTCGGGAAGAAGAAGGGTGTCTCGGGACAGAAGGAGAGTGGACAGACAGAACCCAGTGAAGAAAGCAAAGAAAACCGGGAAAGGGATCGGGATTTCAGCAGACGACGTGGCGGGCCACCGAGGCGGGGGCGAGGTGCCAGCCGTGGAAGAGAGTGTACGGACCTGCCCTTCCCTAACGCCCGTCACGGTGCACACCGAGGCCCCTGGTGCTGCGAAGAGCTGCCAGTAAAGCTGCTTGGGCAGCCCTGTCTTGGAGGAAAACCCCCCCCTCGTGTGTGTGGCGGAGCTGTTTGACGCTCCCTTGGCTGAGCTGGTTCCGTAGGGACAACCCTCAGTACCAGCAGCTTCAATAAAATAAGATCCGGGAGCGTTTGGTGGCGGCGTCTCCCGCCCAGCCGCTGCGCTTCGGTGCGGGAGGGCTGGTGTCTCCTGAGGCGGGATGAATCCTGAAGCCGACTGTGCGTTGTTCTGTCTTTCAGTTCGGGGCCAGGAGAATGGACTAGACGGTGGCAAGAGTGGAGGATCTTCTGGAAGAGGCACAGAAAGAGGGAGGCGGGGACGCGGCCGAGGCCGAGGTACACATGGCGTTTGAGGTCAGAGGGGGTGGGAGGAGAAGAATGATGTCGGTGTTACCTGTCTCCTCCCTGAGGTTTAAAAGCCTCTTCCATGCGTTGGCAAACTGAAAATAAGCTCTTGTTTTTTCTCTTCTCCTTGTGCTTACTGCCTACACCTTGCTGCCCCATGCTAGAAACGGGATCTAGCTCTTCCATCCCATCCGTGGAGCTGGAAAAAAATTGGGCTTTATTGTATAGAGGTGGGAGGTTAAAAAAACCTGAGGTGACTGTTTGGCAGGTGGGGCAGTTGCTTGTTAGCAGCAGAATGTGGATCCTCCTTGTTCTTGCCCGTGGCTCTGAGCACGCCGGCTGTGCGAGCGCTCGGCTTGGGTTTTAGATACTCAGCGGCAGAAATCCAGTTTTCCACAAAATCTGTGCTGCTGGGGAATTGGTGCTGAGGACACACACTGCAGAAATCGGGACCTGGGGTCCAGTACTTACGGTTTGAGCCAGCTGGAAACCTCATCTGAGCCTGGAATCGTGCGTCGCTAATTACGCTGCCAGCCCGCTGAGGTCATTCCCATGCACATAAAGGTGCTGTGGAAATCCCATCAACTTGGGAAGATCCTTGTCACTTACAGATTCTGGGCATCAGCGTTCCCTAAGTTGTTGAAATGTTTCTTTTCCTGGTGATGCAGAGCCAAGAGGTGCTCAGCAGCCCACGTGTGTGTTTTACAGGTGGCTCTGGAAGGCGAGGGGGAAGGTTTTCTGCCCAAGGCATGGGGTAAGTTCCACAGCAAAAATAAAGAAGTCTTTGCGTGGCTTGGTACCGTTTGCATCAGTCGTTTGTGTTCTGTTTTTCCTGGGGTTTTTTTTGGTTAATAAAGGCAAATCTGCATCATGCTAACTTAAATTTGAAATGGCTGATGTAGCTGAAGCATCCCTCTGCCGAGAGAACTGTCTGTTGGGACTCTTTGAGATGTGTCGTGATCCGAATAAAGTCAATTGCTTTTGAAATGCTTTGGGAGAGGGAGGAAAAAACTTCCGTCCTCCTGTTTCTTACAGAACTTTCAACCCGGCTGACTACGCCGAGCCGGCTGGCGCGGATGAGAACTATGGGAATAGCAACAACAACACGTGGAACAACACTGGCAGCTTCGAGCCGGACGATGGCACAAGTGAGTGGTCTTTGGCTGCGTGGTGCTTAGCGCCTAAGTGGATTTTGTGTCCGTCCGGCTCTGCGGAGGTTCGGGGAAGGTCAGGGACAGAGGAACGGGGAGGTTGGTTCAGAGATGGATTTCAGTGACCCTGTTTCTTTGCACCTGAAGGTGCCTTCCCATCTGTTGGGGTGACCACGGGGGAAACAGGGAGCTGGATGGTGGTTGTGATGCGAGCTCGTGCGTGCTGTTGCCCCGCAGAGGCACAGGAACGCTTGCCTCCGTCTCTGTTCCACCACGCTGCCCTTGGAAGAGGCTTTTGATAAAGCGTAGCGTGATGAACACGTGCGAGTTCCCCCGACATCAGGTGCATCCTCCAGAGAATATCACCCAGAGTTCAGATGCCTTGCTCTTGAGTTCACTGTGGGGAGCATTTGCTTTCTCATGGTCATGCTCAAACCGCTGTGGGATGAGACCTTGTGACACAAACGTAGCTGAAAAGGGGTCTTCATCGCTTCCCCGTTGGAGCAAACCTCTCTTCGCTGGGCGGTTCTGCCCCTGCACGTTGTCTTGCATTGGGAAAATGGTGCTTTTTTGTTTCCCGGTGTGTAAGACATAAGCAAACTCAGATTTTTTGCAGTGTGGTAACGGGACAGAGTTGCAAGGGAGAAGCCCACATCGTAAGTAGGCTGTTTGGGGGGGGCTTTTGAAGAGTGGTTGGGTTTTGGGGGGTTGTTTTTTATGGAGTGGTCTTGCACCACCGTGAAGTCAAACTATTTTTCTGTGAATTTTTTTTTTTTTTTTGAGCATTCAGGTAAATACCACATCTTGGTTATAAGAAGCATTTGCAACTGTATTCATGTTGCTTTAGCACTGCCATATTTCTGGTATTTGCTGAAAAACTGATTGTTTTGGAAAGAGAGAAATGACGTGCTGTAAACTCTGAGACTCTTTAATACACGTTGTTCCTGTAGGTTTGTTTTTTTGGTTGGTTTGTGTTTGGGTTGGTTTTTTGTTTGGGTGGTTTTTTGCTTTTTGGTTGTGTTGGGGTTGGGTGGGTTTGGTTTTTTTTTATTCCGAAAATGGAGAGCTGTTTTGAAAGAGGAAAAAAATAAGCATGGCTTTGTAAAACACTAGCAGATTGAGTGATCATCTTCTTGCCAATTGGAGTTTTAAATACCGGAGGGAGTAGTGTGGGCATGTGTTAAGGGCGATGGGTCTGCTTGTCTCTGTGGGAGAAGGGGCTGGGAGTGGATGAGCTCTGCGTGCTGGAAGATGAACTGTCTGGTCTGAACAAGCTTCTCGGGGGGATTATTCTGTTTTTCTGTGTTGGTGTTTTGTGGAATTGTGGAACAAAGTGGGTTAGAGTGTGGCTGGGGGGAATTTGAAGATTTTTTCAACTCAAATTTGCTGTAGTGCTGCAAGGCAGTTGTAGTTTATCGTGCCACTGCTGTCTCGTGGGGTCGGTTTGGCTCCATTTTAGTAGTTGTTCGCCGCAGGCGTCTCTTTAAATCAACAGTATCCACAGGTACGATGTGACTGGTGCACGTGGGGGCGATGGAACTGGCCGTCGCTGCTTTAAGTCAAAATTCACTGGTTGTCTTTCTTTTCTTTTTTTTTTTTTTTCTTTTTTTGTTGTTTCAGGACTTGATTTCATTGGGGGTGAGGGGTCAAATTATCCCCGAAAATTTGACACTGCTCCTGGTACGATGCATCCAGGTGCACTAACTGCCCCGGATACCTTTACTCTATGGCTTTTTTTTTTTTTTTTAAAAAAAAAAGGAACTATCTGTGGATATGTTACTCTTCTCTCTCTTAATTTGTTCATTTTAATGAATATTTGACGTTTGTTCTGACTGTGCTTTTACTAATGCTGACACCTTGAATGTAAATGGGGAGAGGTTAACCCAAATTCTTGTGGATTATGTACGTTTTAACTTCAGCCACTGCTTCTCGGTCCCCCGAGCAGCTCCGTGTCCGCAGCGCTGAGGACAGAGCACCCCACCCGAGGGGAGCAAGTGCGGGGCAGCTTAGTCGTAGCCTGCTTCTCACATCCAGAAAGCCACGACTCGCCCTTGTCCCTGTGACTCGCCGTTGTCCCCGTGCCGTCTCCCTGGCGCGGCGGTTCGGCTCCGCACCCCTCACTTCACCGGCCTCCTCGCTGTGTTTCTGCTTCGGGTCAAACCGCTGCTGCCAGGGGAATTCGGGCTGGTTCAGCTGTCCCAGTGCTTTGCCTCTGCTTACGGCTGCCTCTGGGTGAGCGGTGAGCTCGGTGGCTGCTTTGGCATGTGCTGGCTGCTGCTCCTCACCCTGCAGTCGTGCCCTGCAGGTGGAGGTGACGGTGGATTTTGAGATGACTGGGATGCTTGGTGGCAAAGCTGCTTGGTGGCGAAGCTGCTCGGTGCCTGGCTGCTTTATCTCCTCCTGCTCTGCCACCTTTTACGCCTTAGGAAGCCAAGAGACACCCGTGGGATGATCCAGGTTACCTGACACCCACCCAGTCCCATCGCTGTCCATAACAAGGCCAACGTCGTGGTTGACTGACATCATCTCCATCTAACCCGAGGTCTGGGAGTTGAGGCTGAGGGCCCTTCTGGAGGAACTTGCTTTGCTCTTGAAGGTGGTCAGGACAGGAGGAGGAGGAGGAGTGTTGAGGCTCTGCAGTCTCTTGCAGATGTACTTGGAGTCCTCCTGTTGCTGTGGAGCAACTTCTGGTTCTCACCTCTGGGTTAATCTTTAACTCCCACAGGCAGCACAAGGCCATCTGCTCCGGGGCTGCCGTTGTGGTTTTGCCACACTTTGCCTTTGTTGGAATTTACATTCCTTTGAGGTGCAGAGTTGGGGTTTGGGGCCTGTCACCCTTCCAGGCTGGGGCATCGAGCATGCATCCAGTCACTGAGATAGCAGCAGACCCCCTGATGAGCTGCGGGAGGAGCAAGCTGGTTGCTCATCTCCCAGCTTAAAATGAAGAGATAGTGTATTTGGGGGCGGGGGGGGAGGGAATCTTGAAGACACAATGGGATTTTTTTTTTTTCCCTTCAACATTCGTAGTTGCAAATGCCTATTGACTTTTTTTTTTTCCCCCGTTTTCCTGGTTTGAGGAGCTTAAAGACCAGCAGCTCTTTGAAGGGCTTACAAGCAGGGAGGAGGGTTTGCTGTTCAGCAGACGACGCTTTCGAACTGGTGTTAGAAGTGTCAGGGCGTTGC